AAGCAGTCCATACAAGAAGAATCAAGATGGTGTTGGCAAAAAGGCATTATTTCATTTTAAGCTTGTTACCACTGAGACCAGTCAACCCTGAACAGAAGTAGCCGAGTTTCAAAACAAGCAAGTGCAAAATTTCTATTCATTCAGTGCCAACAGCTCCTTCCCATGGCCCGTGTCTCTCAGTTTCAAAGCCCTATCTTGGCTGGTAAAGAAAAACAAACTGTGGCAACCACCGCACCCTTTAAGTGGATTTTTCATGCTAGAAAAATGTTTTGCTTTGTTTTATACTCCATGACAATAGTTCCAAAATGCTTTGCAAGGATAAATTTCTTATTAGTAAAATTACAGCTACCACAAATCGCTCTATCCATTTTCACATAAATGCCAACGTTGAGCGAAAATAAAGTGATTAAATGGCTCACAGAAATCTGTCAAAGAAATACAGGGTCTTCAACATCCTTGCAGATGTATCCATGTTAATGGATTACATTAAAGATGACATAAGCCCACAACACACGGGAAATTCAAACAAATTTATTAAGTCCAGGACGATGACCTAACACCAAATCCTACATGGTAAAAGGATTACATCAGACCCTTCAACAATGTACTTAGATGCCCTAGACAATGTGGGCAGCTGGTGGTATCCTAAGCTAACAGACCAGGGAGAGTAAAACTCAATATTAAATGTTCTATACCATTTATTTCAATCACAGATCCAGTCAGGCCTCCATAATAGTAGGTTCCACATCCTTGAATTCAATCAACAGCAGATCAAAATCCAAGGAACCAGAGGGCCAATGATAAGGGACTTGAGCATCTGCAAATTTTGGCATCCACAGGGAGTCCTAGAATCAATACTCAGCAGATATGGAGGGCTGATAATACAGTATGGTCTGAATCTGTCACCCGAAGTTCATGTGCTGGAAACCTGATCCCCAATTCAGCAGTGTTGGGTGCAGCACAATGGGAGGTGTCTGGGTCTCGGGAGCACCACCCTCATGAATGGATTAATGCCATTAAGGAGGGAGTGGGTTTGTTATTGGGAGAGTAAGTTCCTTATAAAAGGACTTAGTTTGCCCCCTCCCTACCTTTGCTTTTCCACAGCGGAATGACACACTGAGAAGGCTCTCATCACATGCTAGCCCGTTGATCTTGGACTTCCCAGCCTCCAGAAGCCTGAGCTAATAAACATCTCTTCACTATAAATTACCTAGTCTCAAGTATTCTGTTATAACAGCACTATAAATTACATAGTCTCAGGCATTCTGTTACAATGGACTAAGACACATGTTACTAAAATGTAGGTTAAACTGCACAAAAATATTTAGAAAATTATTCCCTTCTAAAAAGTAATTGTGTCTTACTAAAGAATAAGAGTAAAATAATAATAATAATAATAATAAACTAATAGATTCTAAACTCATATACATGCAACTATTATTTTTATTCTTCATCTTTTCTACTTGCCAAACAGGAAACAATTTCGAACTAGCAAAGAGGAGACTTGGGTTTAAACTCACTTCTGCCACCAACTCACTGTGACTCTCAATGGGTCTCAGACTTTCTGAATCTCAGTTTCTTCATCAGAAATGAGAGAAGTGTTACACTAGATTACAGAACCAAAAGCTCGCTTTAAAGCCTCAGATAGCAAGTGTCTTACCCTAGACTGTCCCAATTATTTGTCAAATAAAGAGGTCACATTATGTGTTGCATACACTGTGCTTCAACAACAACAACAAATCCATCAGAGCTGAAGAACGGATTCTGTGTTTTGAAAACCCACTAGTGAAATCTGTTCTCTCTCTTGCAAAAAAATTCCTGTTGTTTGTATAAATGAATATGTATGTTGTCTCACACGCAGGAAAAGTAATGTGAAACTTACGGTAAAATTCTTCATTTAAGCTAAATGTGCATATGCATTGTCTTCTTACAATGGAAATCAAGTTGAGACTAGGGGGTTCAAGAATGAGGGGGTATCCACACATAAATTTCTACATTAACCTAAGCATTTCAAAGATAAGGGAATTTCCAAGAATACCCTTTGTCCTAAAATACCTTTGGCCAAAAAATTACTAAAAACTGATCTAAGAAGAATACATTTTCCATTTCTAAAACCAAATACAAACTGAGATTCTGCAAATTTGTTTTCAAATGAATTGTCCTTCTGTCTAAATAGATTTTTGCCTTGAACGTAGGCTGTGAATAAATCACATGAGGTGGGAGAGCTTTCTTTTTAAAAATACCATCAATTTTTCCAAGTCTTGCTAAAAAACACAATGGTACTAACACTTCAAGTTATAGCTGCTTATTCTTTAAACACTTTGTTTACTGAGAGAAACAGACCTATAAAACGAAAAACAGGGGCCAGGCGCGGTGGCTCAAGCCTGTAATCCCAGCACTTTGGGAGGCCGAGGCGGGTGGATCACGAGGTCAAGAGATCGAGACCATCCTGGTCAACATGGTGAAACCCCGTCTCTACTAAAAATACAAAAAATTAGCTGGGCATGGTGGTGCGTGCCTGTAATCCCAGCTACTCAGGAGGCTGAGGCAGGAGAATTGCCTGAACCCAGGAGGCGGAGGTTGTGGTGAGCCGAGATCGCGCCATTGCACTCCAGCCTGGGTAACATGAGTGAAACTCCGTCTCAAAAAAAAAAAAAAACAAAAACAAAAAACAAAAAACATATAAATTATCTAATCTATCCCCTTGAAGTGAACATTAGATTTTTTAACTATGATATGAACCAGTTACCTAAAGCTATAAAACCAGTAAGACTCTAAGACCCCAACCCTGTTTTACATGTAAATATTAGACAGTCCCACCAAGCTTGACAGCTGGTGTGTCAACTATACAAATGATATTCCAGCCTACCAGGAATGAATATAATGTCTTTCAATTAGGAGAAGGGTCACAGGCTAGGGCAAAACTACTAACGTTACTAGGATGAAATTCTCTACCACATTCTCTCAGGCAGTCAAAGGACGTGCCTCCTTTGCCCAAGTTCTGACATCTAGTCCCTTTCTTGGAATTGCAACACTGTTGACCCGTCTTGGAGAATATACAAACTTTGAGGACACATTCTCAGCTCTAAGAAGAGACACCTTGGAGTTCCCACAGTCTTACTTCAGTTAATTTCAGTTAATTTTGAGCAGCTAAGTAACACTATATAATCAGATGTTTTCCCCTTGTGCAAAAGAAGTACAACGTTAATAAGTACTAGCACCTAGCATGGAAACAAATGGTTCACAGCAAACAGACACAATGCAGTTCCTACATTCAGAGTACGAAGAAAAAAAAACACATCTTGTTAGGTTTTGTCCAGGAAAGTGGGAGATTATTGCTGCTCTCATTATACAGACACATGCAGCATGTTCAGACAGAAACCAAAAAATGTAGACTGTCATCTGTGAGCTTTGACAAAATGACAAACATCTGTAAATAAACAGACTAGTTTTCTCATTTTTCATCCAGATAAGAAAACCTTTCATTTTCCCACAACAGACAAGGCAAAAAAAAAAAAAAATCAGTGCACTAATTGTAACAATTCCCTGTCGATTTCAGACCTTAGCTATGCTTAAACCAGGCCAATTTTATTGTAACATCGTGTTTCTTCTTGTAAACTATTTCCCCAAACACACTGTGCACATTTCTCAGTCACGCCTTATTGATAAGAGTCAGGCTTGAAAGCAGGGCTGCCAGATTATTAGCGTAGCATATAAATTACCAACATGCAAAATGTTGATGGATGTCAGCGCCACTGGTACAACCAACCCAAGGTAGCTTTGAGGCTCAAACCAAGGAGCTGGCACTAAGTAGGCACCTAATAACTACTCGCCAAACTGAGTGACACTCTACCTAACAAACGAAACAACTTCATTCCTGGGTGTGCTTTAGCAGAAATAACTGATTGGATGGAGGAGGTGGTATGCAGAGGGGGTGTTCCTCCAACCCTCTGAAGTTGCGCTTGTCCTCTAAATAGGCAGCATTTGTAATCACTGTCTCTCTTCTGCTTGCACTCCCAATGTCTAACAGCCACAATTAAGGCCTGACCTACTTTCCTCAAGCATATCTGTACCTCGGGCACCAAGTCAATTCACACTTGGTCCACTCGGAATGGAAGAAATGCCCATGTAACTAACAACCCACAGCTGCACCCCACACACGCAGAGATGCAGGGCTCTGCATTGTAATCCACCCGGCGCCCTCCTCCCGGATGACTATTTTCATCCCCTCTTCCTGTTTAAATATATTTTGGCCCATAGCATTCTGATGAGTCCATGCTGGGCAGAGGACAGGCTTCCAAATACGTATTCAATCAGTCCAAACATTCGGAAACAGGTAAGATATTCTGTTAACAACAGTACCTAGTACATAGTTTAGATTCTGCTTTCAACATTGTATTTTTTTCAAAAAGTAATTTTAACAATCAATACACATTCATTACGAGCCACAGTGAACATCCTGAGATGCATTTTATTTTTTAAACACAGCTGTACGTCTGCTGCCTACATTGCTTTATCAAGCTCTAAGTGATTAAGGAAAAAAAGAGAATTCGTTTGCTGTGATAATACACAGATCTGTGTATCTTTCCAGTTGCCTTCAAGGTTGAAAGAAATGAGGTCTTCATGAGTACCAGCTAGCTATTCATTAAATTTAGTAGAAACAAAATATTACTTTTCAAGCACTTTAAAGAACTGAGAACGCTACAGAGCTCAGCAGAATTTTTCTGGATTTTTTTTTTTAAGTTTTCCTGACCCCCTTTTCTAACATCTCTCCTCATTAAAAATGCCTCAGTCTGAAAGGAAATGAGGAGAACAGGAACAAGAGCTGATGAGTAAATGCAAGTGATTATTATAAGAACCTCACTCATCTCTAATTTTTGAAACCCAGTTCATTTTGTTTAGCTAAGAAAAGGAGAACTGTATACACAGCTTGCTTTTAAGAAAAGACTTTAAACCTTTAAGCAGCAATTTACACCCATGTAACCGGGCCATCTTTTTTGTTTTCTCATTATTTCTACCTAGCTAACAAAGGAAATGCTGATTCCTGGACTTAAAGGAAACTAAAAGAACACCTAAAAGCAATTCATCATGGTGGGGCCTCTCTTGACACACACTGCTTTAGGGTTTCAATGGTGTGGGCCCTGATGGGGATGAAGTGCCCAGTGTGTATACAGGGATATGCCCTGAAGAAGAGACAGATACGGGCCAGGGTTCCCTGACTTGCTCCAGCCCTGCACCCATCTCAAATTCCAACGTGCATAGGAATTGCTTGGAGAATCTTGTGAAGAACAGATCCTGATCCCTGAGATCCCACAGTAGGGCCTTAGAGTCTGAGAGTCTGCATTTCCAGTAAGCTTCCAGGTGATGGTGATGCTGCTGACCAGAGCATGACACTCCAAGTAGTAAGACACAGAATATCCCAGAACACCCCAGGCCCACTTAGGACCTATATTGTGTTTACCTGGCCAGTATTCATTCTCTCTAGGAAGCCACCTTCAGGACAATCCCATGGGCCATACTTAGGTCAAAGATGGGGCTATGTCCCATATGGAGTCCAGTAAGGGTCAGCCCCCCAACCGGGGCTTTTGCTGGACCTTGTGGGGTAAAATGAATAACTATTTCCTATTCAACCTGTGGAACACGAACTTGTGGGACTACCTTCACCAGAATTCAAGGAGGTGGGCAGGTGATTTTCAGAGACAGGGTAAATATCGAGGGATCACAAGCTAGACAGATCAACCCCTTTCTTTAAAAAAAAAAAAAAAAAAAAAAAGAGAGAGAGAGAGAGAAAGACAGAAAACAGAAAAAAATTGGTGTTTCCTACAATAACTGCTAAGAAAATCATATGCAACTATTTTGATTAGGCGTAACTTTATATAAAAACAAAAACGGCGTGTTGCAATATCCATTTACCCTGGCACAGTGTAAGCTTCAGAGAAAGGGAAAATTCAGTCATCTTTTTTCCCCAGTGCCTCTTGCTGAGGGAAACTCCAAGCAGTCTGGGCTCATCCAACATTGTTTTCATGCTGACTGAGTTACACAGCAGTTTCTAGGCCATGTTGGCTCTGAAGGCGGGAACACGTTTCAGTTATCCTTTCCAGTCTCTGCAAAAATCTCAGCAACTGACACACAGCAGAGAATGACCAATCAGCACTCCACTGCGTGGGGGTACTTCATATCTGTCATCTTCTGGAACATCCCCTTCTACCCCTTTAAAGAACAATTCTCAAGGATCTTTGGGAAATCAAGTTCAGCATAGGTTGACTAACTTAGTTGCTTATGCCTAGAAACAAGACTTGAACCAAATCTGTCTACCAGTTCCAGAGTTCTTGTCACCATCTACCCAGTTCCAAAACCCATGTCCCCAACCCCAACCACTTTATCATGGTGCTTCAGTGAATATTTCTAAGCCAGAGAGTATCATGCTTCCACCACCAAGTTCAAAACCTGAGGTCCGGCCGGGCGCGGTGGCTCAAGCCTGTAATACCAGTACTTTGGGAGGCCGAGGCGGGTGGATCACGAGGTCAAGAGATCGAGACCATCCTGGTCAACATGGTGAAACCCCGTCTCTACTAAAAATACAAAAAATTAGCTGGGCATGGTGGCGCGTGCCTGTAATCCCAGCTACTCAGGCTGAGGCAGGAGAATTGCCTGAACCCAGGAGACGGAGGTTGAGGTGAGCCGAGATCGCGCCATTGCACTCCAGCCTGGGTAACAAGAGCGAAACTCCGTCTCAAAAAAAAAAAAAAAAAACCTGAGGTCCACAGGATTCTCTCTGGTTTCTCTACACCTCACTGCCCTCTCCTCTTCCTAATCCTTCTCTATCTCCTTTCCATGCCACTGACCTAGAGAAGGGCAAGCCACCGGTCCCTCTCCCCACCTGCTGAAAGGCAATTCAGCAGTAAGGCAAGGACGTGTTATCTGTCCCTCAACAATGGAGGGAAGAAAACCCACTACAGGGCCAGCAACACAGCAGATAGGACATCCTGGATGCATATACACTTGGCCTGCAATTATCACAGCAAGCTCATCCCTGTGCCCTCTCAACCTCCAAAAAAACAAAGAAAAAGCACAAATAATATCCACAAGAAGGAAAGCTAAGAGGACCAGCTAGCGGAGACTGAATATTGCCCTAGGGTATCCAGTACCACAGGAAGAGGAGGGCTAGCCAAAACCCTCGTTTCTATTATCCTGTGATCCAACAGTTCCAGAGCTCTGTACTGACCTGCAACAAATATTGGCAAATGTGCACAAACGGTATATATAAAGACTGTTTTCTATAAAGTGGCCTTAACAGCTAATTACATTTGCTGCGTTTATTTTTTGGGGGACAGGGTCTTGCTCTGTTGCCCAGACTGCAAGGCAGGCATGGCTCACTGAAACCTCCACTTCCCACAGGTTCAAGCGATTCTCTCAACTCAGCCGCTCAAATAGCTGGGATTACAAGCATGCACCGCCACACTGGGCTAATTTTTGTGTTTTTCGTAGACACACTGTTTCACCTGGCACCTCTGCAGCAGATATTTAACAACAGAATACTATACGATACCTAAAAAGACTATGCTAGATGCATTAGGGATCAACAATGAAGTATTTTTTAAACTATTACCAAATGAAAAAAGCAAGCAATAGAATGATAAACACAGTATATTAGTCAGGTAAAAATAATGTATATATTTGTATAAATATACTTTTGTAAACCTATTCAAATCACTTCATACTCTAGAGCAGCAGGGCTGGAGGAAGTAGTCAACAGATGTAAGCCTTAGTTGAAATGTTCTAAGGAAAAAAAAAGTATTTATGTCATACACACACACACACACACACACACACATACACACACATATAGTGAAAAAAATATACATATATATGTTTTGTTTTGTTTTTTGAGACAATCTTGCTCTGTCACCCAGGCTGGAGTGCAGTGGCTTGATGATCTTGGCTCACCACAATCTCCGCCACCCGTGTTCAAGTGATTCTCCTGCCTCAGCCTCCCGAGTAGCTGGGATTACAGGTGCACACCACCACACCTGGCTAATTTTGTTTTTTTTGTTTTTTTTGTTTTTTTCAGTGGAGACAGGGTTTCGCCATGTTGGCCAGGCTGGTCTTGAACTCCTGACCTCAGGTGATCCGCCCACCTCAGCCTCCCAAAGTGCTGGGATTACAGGTATGAGCCATTGCACCTGGCCTATTTTTTTTTTTAATTAAAGAAAAAAATAAGTGCCAACAATGCCTACTCTAGGAGTAGATGCTCCCATGCTCCCGGCCCATCCATCTCAATCAGAAATCGAAGATGACACCATCCTGAGAAGACATGTGCCCAATGGTACACAGACACAAGGGTCTAGGCATTTCCAAAGAGCTGTGTCATGCTCAGGCACCACTTACCACATGCGTCTAGGAAAGCATCAGTCTGATACCCTCTGGCTCCTAGTATCATCTCTGGCCTAACTCCTCAACTTCTCACCATCAATTCCCTAAAACTGTGGGTCTCTTGCTCTAACCAACTTGAAATGGCTGTCTTCTATAAATCTAGTCTAGTAACTGACCTTTACTACACACCCATATTCCACTTTCATTTTCCCTGCTGAGTTTAGGCATCATCCATCCATCCACCAGTCCACTGTCCACCTATCCACCTGTGCACTGTCCACCTATCCACCCATCCATCCATCCATCCACCAGTCCACTGTCCACCTATCCACCCATCTACCCATCCATCCATCCACCCTGCAACTCTTCATAAGCAGCTGCCACGTACCCCACGTGCCAAGCACACAACAATGGACAAAGCCATCCTGACACTCAGACCAGTCTAGTGGCCTGAGCTACACACACTGATCCCCGCCCCGACCCCATCAGCCACCTGAATTCTGAAAGTTCGGAATGACTTTGAGCCATCAACAGCTAAAATGCAAAAGAACTGCATTCAAATCCTAGCCCTGCTACTGGCCAGTGTGTAATTGGAGGAAATTTTTTCTGTGAGCCTCAAAGTTTTCTCATTTCTTTGGTAGAGACAGTGTCTTAGAAGCAGGTATCTGAGAAGACACTTACATCTCATGAGTTTGTGGTAGAGATTAAATTAATAAATGCAAGGTGCTAAGTTCAGGACCTGGAACATATCATTCAACAAGTGTTAGTTTCCTTAATGAGAGGGTATTAGAGTAAGAATTGGCAGGCTTTTTCTGTAACAGGGCATATAATAAATATTTTAGGTATGCAGGCTACATAGCACTCTCCCACTGTGGTGCTGTTTACAAAAAATGGACATGGCTATTTCAATAAAATATGAGCATGGGTATTTCAAGAAAACTTTACTTATGGACCTGAAATTTGAATGTCATACATTATGTATGTTTCAAAATAATATTATTTTAATTGTTTTCAACAATTAAAAATGTAGCAAAATATTCTTAGCTCACTAGCTGTACAAAATAGGAGGTGGGCCAGATTTGGTGGTCCCAGGCTGCGGTTTGCTGACCCCTGTTTTACAGGAAATCCTATAAGCTACAGAGAGATCAAGAAATCCCAACTTAACATGCTATGAATTTTTCTTCCCTGTAGAGAGCTGACTACAACTGCTGTTTGTTGCAGAAGCCTCCAGCACTGGGCCACTTGAAGAAAACAACACATCATCAAAGCATACGTATACATGGATGCATATATGAGTATGTGTGTGTATATATTTTTTTCATGTATATGAATATGTTAATAAATATTTATCCCTCCCTAGGGCCGGGCACAGCGGCTCACGCCTGTAATCCTAGCAATTTGGGAGGCCAAGGCGGGCAGACTGTCTGAGCTCACGAGTCCGAGATCAGCCTAAACAACACGGTGAAACCTTGTCTCTACCAAAATACAAAAAAAAAATTAGCAGGGGGTGGTGGCTCAGGCCTGTAGTCACAGCTACTCCAGAAGCTGAGACATGAGAACAGCTTGAACTCAAGAGGTGGAGGTTGCAGTGAGCCAACATCATACCACTGCACTCCAGCCTGGGCAACAGAGCGAGGCTCTGTCTCAATAAATGAATAAATGAATGAAAGAATGAATGAATAAATAAATAAATAAATAATCCCTTCTAAATTTTGTATTTCTGGAATGTTTTATGATGGATATAACATCAGTGTAAGAGTACAACTGTAATTTAGGAAAACATGTAGAATAGGGGTCTATGTTCAAAACTTTCTCCCTGCAGTAAGAGTACCAGATCAAAAAGAATCACCACAAGCTCACATGCCTCCTTTCAGGAACAGGACACGTAACTGTAATAAACTGCAAATAATAATCTGAATCTAACCACAGGAGGCATCACAGACATCCAAAGTGATGGAGATTCCACAAAATAAGTGGCCTGTACAATTCATGGGGCAGGGTCATGAAAGGCAAAGTTCCAGATTTAAGAAGACTTTTTAAAGAGACAAGACAACCCAGTGTAATGTGTGATCATGGATTTGAATACTGGACCAGAAAAAAGCTAAAAAAAAAAAACAAAAAAAAAAACAGAAAAAAGTAAAGAAACAGTGGACCCACTGCAGTGGCTCATGCCTGGAATCTCAACACTTTGGGAGGCCAAAGTGGGAGGATCACTTCAGCCCAGAAATTTGAGACCAGCCTGGAAACACAGGAAGACCATTTCTACAAATATAAAAATTTTAAAATTTAACTGGGCATGGTGGTGTGCACCTGTAGTCCTAGCTAGCTACTCAGGCTAGGGTGGGATGATTGCTTGAACCCGGGAGGTTGAGGCTGCAGTGAGCTATGACTGTGTCACTGTACTCCAGCCTAGATGACAAAGTAAGACCCTATCTCAAAAAATATATAAAATTTAAAACTTTACTGTTTCCTATAAAAGAATAATAGACATTAGTGGGATAATGAACTAAATTTGGAAAAAGTTTGTAATTAGATAACAGAACTGTATCCAAGTCAGTTTTCTGATGTTGATGACCGTATCATGCTTAAGCAAGAGAATGTCCCTGTTTTGAGGAAACACATCTTGAAGTATTTAAAGGTAAAGAAATACCATGTCTGCAACTTACTCTCAAACTTCTCAAAAAAAAAAAGTGTGTGTTTGAGAGAGAATGAGTCAGAGAGAGACAGAGAGAGACGTGTGTGTGTGTGTGTGTGTGTGTGTGTGTGTGTGTACGCGCGCGCGCGTAGAGAGAGAGAAAGACAACACAAATGTGATCGACCTAGTATCTGGAGAACCTGAGCAGAAGGGGACATAGAAATCCTTTGTACAATTTTACAACTTTTCTAGAAATCTGAAATTATTTCAAAATTACAAATTTAAGGATGAAGAATACATGATAGCTACAAGTTCTCTGCTAAAACCTCTTTATATAGACATCATGCCTGTTTGCTTTCTACGCTTCCATTTTACAAAATAATGGAGGGTGATATTTGCTATCAGCGCTACAAATAAGCTAACATCAAGACTGTGTATACTATCACCACAGGCCCTTAATTTCTGCTGTAACATACAAAGGAGTCAAAACACTGCCCCTATCCCCCTTAACGGCAACCCCTGCAATGGGCCATAGTAGACTCCTCTGTCCTTGGCATCCACCAGGTGAGTCACACCTGCTGTGTGTCCTACATGTAGGCAGAGAGCTGGAAGCAGACAGATGTATCTGGGCACAGAAATGCCTAGGTAACACGTGGTCTACAAATGATAAGGAATAAACAGAGTAAGAACATGGCAGCCCAGTCTGTCTGATGATGCTCTATCATTTATTTCCACATCAATGTTAGTCAAAGAAGCCATGTAGCTTCTTTCCAGGAGGCAGCGCCAAGACAAATGGGACATCCAGACCAAAGGAATGTGTCAATGCCCTCCTGGTCC